TGGGTCTAGTGGTTATGGGCCTCTCCCCCATGTCCTTAGTGTCTGGGTTCTCCTCTCACCCTCTTTCTTCCCCCCGCCCAGGTTCGATTCTCCCTCGTCGTCACCGTGCACCCCCTGCTGGTCTGGCCCTTTGCCAGCCAGGCTGCCCGCCGGGGGCCCTGGGAGGAGCTGGCCCGGGACCAGAGCCGCTTTCGCCGGCGCATCGAGCAGCTGGGGGCTGTCCTGGGGCCCTGTCTGGAGCCGGGACATCGGGCCCGAGCCTGGAGGAAGATCCATGGTGCAGCCCAGGAGCTGGCAGGACAGGAGACTCCCTTCCCCCTCCACGAGGGAAAGGAGAACCTGGGGCAGGGGATGCGGAACAAGTCTCTCCAGCTCTGCTCTGAAAGGATGGAGGACCCAGGTGTCTGGGAGGATCAGGCTGGGAAGCATATGCCCCTCCCCTCCGATTATAGGGGAGTGGAGGACCCAGGCATCCGGGATGGAAGACTGGGCTAGGCCACAGACTCTGTTCCCCCTGGCGCCCCCAGTGGTGATTGCATTAACCCTTCTGGCTCTGGAGCCAGAACTCCTGGGTTCTCTCCCTGGCTCTAGGAGGGGAGTGGGGTCTAGTGGTTAGAGCGGGGGGGGAGGGGGGCTGGGAGCCAGGACTCCTGGGTTTCTTTGGGGATGACACCCCTTTACCTACCTCAATCTCTAACCTGCACGTGCTCCAATCTGTTGCGTTTATTTATTACTGTTAAATTATTTTCCGGCTGGTCCATCCGGCCTCAGAGGGGACTAAATATTTATTTTTTTTTTATACCTGGATGAAGGGGGGAGGGAGGAGTCAATTTCTCAAGAGGACATGGCCTCTTCTTTGTGTTTCTGAATCGCCTTGGTATTTTATTCCCCTGCCACCCTGACTCTGGGCTGCTTTTTAACTGCTCCAAGTCTGTTAATAAAGGTTTAAAACACGGCCGCTTGTTCTGCGTGGTGGTGTTCAAACCAACCCCTTGGCCTCCGAACGGTGAGAATTTCCTGGACGTCTCCCACCAGGCTGAGCCCTTAGATGCAGGCTGGTCTCTGTAACGCAGCCTCAGGGGGGGTGCGGATAAAGATTGGTATGAGCACAAAGGGTTAATAAACCTCCCAACTTCCCCCTTGAGGGTGGGGGGTGTATTTTATAAGTGGCCCAAGGCCTTGTTACATCAGCCTCTTAAACTTAAAGTAGGTGCTAGGAACCAGGACTCCTTGATCCCCTCTCTTGGGAGGGGAGGGCAGAGTTGGGGTAAGGGGGCTGGGACTCCTGGGTTCTCTCCCCGGCTGTGGGGAGGGGTGAGGTGGGTCTACTCCCTAGAGCAGGGAGGTGCCAGGTCTCCAGGGTTCTATCCCTGGCATTCTCCCTCAGAGGGGCCTGGACCCTGCCTCAGTTTCCCCATCTGTACAAGGAGAGCAGGCTCCTTCCTGCTGTGAAGACTGGACTCTTTAAGGAGCAGCGGCTGGCCCTTGCTCTCAGCTGTATTACTGGCGGGGGGGGACCTGTCCTGGATTTCCTTGACCTGAGCCGGGTGCAAGCCAGGGGGAGGATCTGGCTTGGCCGGAGGAGGAGTGGAAGACTCCCAAGATGCACAGAGACTGTGCGCCCTGGCAGGTGACTCATGGGCACGGGGTAGGCGTTTAAAGCGCTTTCCAAGGCTGGCCTGAGTCATTGATTACACACGCCTGATCTAGTGGCTCCCTGCCCACCAGAGACACGTGGATCAGCTGGGCTGACCTCAGTCACCTAGAACGGAGCTGAGCGAGTCTAGACCAGCCCAACCTGCTGTTTGTCCAACCAAGCCTTAAACCTCCCTGTGACGTTGTGCAGTCTCTATGGTTTTATAAAAATATAAGTGAATATTATGTAACGGGGATATGCTTCATGCAAAAGGTCTCTTGTAAGGTATCATTACAAAGCTCAGAATCTACTGAGTGTGATCATCCTATTTGTATAAATGTATCACTCTAGTATCTAAAACTAGAAATATAAAACACAACTCTGAGGGCCTATTGTAATTATGTAAAGTGTGGGCCATTAAGGATGGTTTGGAATCTTGATGACTCCCATTGTCTGCAGATGGCTGTATTTACCTGTGAGTCTTCCTGTATCTGTGTGGGCTGGCAAGTGAGTAATGAAGTCTTGCAGTGACATGTGATCATGTCACCTGAACTGGAATCCATCTTTAACCTGGTGCTTCTCCAGTGAGGGGGGGTGGAAACCCAGAGAGACAAAGGGTTCCCGCCTTATGCAAAAGATATATAAAGGGGTGGAAGAGAACAGAGGGGGAGAGGAGCCATCATGAAGAATCCCCTAGCTACCACCTGAGCTGCAACAAGAGCTGTACCACGGGGAAAGAATTGTGCCCCAGGCCTGGAAGGTGTCCAGTCTGAGAAAAAACTTACTGAAGCATCTCTGAGGGTGAGATTATCTGTATTCAGTTTGATTAGACACAGATTTG